GATTCTTTTTCCTGTTTTCCTAGTTTTCTTCCCTTGCACTTCACATTGTATATATATTTTTATGTAACCTGCTTCAAGTTATTTCTGGGAAAATATGTTAAAATTTGTCTCTCTTTGGAATAATAATTAAAAAAATAAAAAATAAAAAGTGCAGGAGAAAACTGGGGATAATTTTGGCTAGACTAAATATGTATTTCTTAGATAGAAAACACATTATATTTAAAAATTATAAATTGGAAATTATTAAAATAAAGACTTTTACTCTGAAAAGTTTCTCCTAACAATGATGACATTGTCAAGGGAATGAAAGAATGAGTTATAGACCAACAAAATTCACAAATTACATCTAGTGATATTTTAAAAAAACATTTAGCAATATTCTTAAATCCAGAATTCTTTTTAATTTTCTAAACCAAAATATAAGAAGTAACAGAAGATTTGAACAGTTACTTTAGCAGAGAAAATGTACAAATGGCAAACAAACACAGTTAATGATGCCTAACATCATTAACCATTAGGGAAATGTAAATAAGACACAAGATACCCTGTAAACTTGTTAGGATGACCACATTGCTTTTAACTGATAAGACTGACAGTGAAGAAAACAACTAGACAACTAATGCACAAATAATGTACTATAAAATGTATGGACATACCAGAGACTTTAGCAATTTTCATAGTCAAGTTTACATTAACAACAATATGACCTAGGAGTCATATTGAGAAATTTAAACTCTTGGTTGCCCAAAAATCTATTCACAAAGGGCTGGAAAGATGGCTCAGTGGGTAAGATCACTTCCTGCATAAGCATGATGTCTGGAATTAGGCTCCCCAGCACCCATGTCAAAAGCCAGGCAGGGCCTCATGCATGTACCTGTAACCCCAGCACTGTGTGGGGTATAGACAGGGGATTTCTGGGCTTGCTGGCCACCACCCTAGCTCTCAGTTCAGTGAGAGGCCATGACTCAAAGGAATAAGGCAGAGAGTGATAGAGCAGAGCACCCTGCAACCCCCTTTGGCCACTGCATGCCTGCACACTGGGTGAACACACCTGACCACACTTATGCACATATACCACAAACATACACTACACTTCATACACCACACTCATATGCATATGGATAATAAATAAATAAACCCGTACATGAATATTTATAGATGTTTGTATTAGTCGCTTTTCTGTTGCTGTGATAGAAACACTGACCCAAGCAATTTATAGAAGGAAGAATTTATTTGAGCTTACAGTTCCAGAGAAACTACAGTCTGTCATGGCAGGGAGGCATGGTGGCTGGAGGTGGCTGGAGGTGGCTGGAGCAGGAGCAGTGGAAGCTGTGCAAAATGTATTTAGTCCATACTTAAATGTCTCCATAGTCTTTACCAGTTTCAATACTATTCAAAAGTCCACAGTCCAAAGTCTCTTCTGAGACTCAGGTAAATATCTTAACTGTAAGCCTCTATAAAATCAAAAGAAAAATTACATACTCCCAATATACAGTGGAACCGAATACACATTACCATTCCAAAAGGGAGGAATGGAGGCATAGTAAGGAAATACCGGACCAAAACAAGACCAAAAACCAGCAGGGCAAACATCAAATTCAGTGGTTCCATGTCCAACTTCTGGGACTTTACTTCCAAAGGGCTTAGATGGCACAGCCTCCCTAGCTTTTCTGTGTGCAACACACATCTCTCATTTGTGCTGGTACCACTCCCTGTATGCAGGTCTTCTTGGCAGATGCCTCACAGCTCTGGCATCTTCTTGGGGTTGCCATTGCCAACCAGGGTTCACCTTCACAGCTTCACGCAATGGCCTATCAGGGCCTTCTCTAGGCATGGGCACCCCTACTTCATGCTGCCTGGCCTCCAAGGCTCTCTGAAACCACGGAGGAAGAACTGATGACCCCTTCAGTCTTCCATCTTTCATGCCTCTAAAACCAGCACCAGGTGAATGATAATGCCAAGTTTGACTGCAAGTTTGGAATGGACTCCTGCCTGCTTTATCCATTTTAGAAGCTTTTCTCTTCAGTGGTCCCTGAAGCATTTTCCTTTTACAAGTTGGAGGCTTAACTGGGTGTGGTCTTGCCCTGGAGGCACTCTCTACATCTCTAGGCCCCTCATTAATCACTTTAATCTCCTTAATCACTTTAATCTCCTTATCAATGGAATCCTCTCCATCACTTGCCAGGGCTTCAACATTAGTCTTCCTAGTGTTCTTTTTCAATCGATCCTGTACATTCTGAATTTCTTTCTGCCCCATTTGCTCTTTTTCTCTGTAAATCTGTATAATATTCACCAGTAATAGCCATGCCACCATTTCTACATTAGGCTGTCTTGAAATTTCTTCTTCCAGAGAAATTAGTCCATGGCTTTTCAACTTAACCTCAGGCAAGCTTTTTGGTTGTGGACAGACTCCATCCCAGACTCTTTGCCAAAATATCCCAATTGCTGCTTAAGTCCTTATTTCCCTCTGGAGCTACATTGTTCTCAGTAGTACTTTCTTCCAGGCTCCTACTAGAATGGCTTGTTAAGCTCTGCTTACAGCAACCAACCACTTTTCTAGCCCAAACTTCCAAAGTCTTCCACATTTTTCTGAAACCCCACATGGTCAGGTTCTTCACAGCCAACAGCCCACTCTCTGGTACCAATTACTGTATTAGTCACTTTTCTGTTGCTGTGATAGAAACACTGACCCAAGCAATTTATAGAAGGAAGAATTTATTTGCGCTTACAGTTCTAGTCTGTCATGGTGGCTGGAGGTGGCTGGAGGTGGCTGGAGCAGGAGCAGCAGAAGCTGAGCTCTCACATCATCACACGGGTACAGGAAGCAAGAGAACCACTGGAGATCTGGCAAGGCTTAAGAACTCTCTAAGCCCACCCCCAGTGACATGCTTCCTCCAGATAGCCGCACTTTCTAAAACCTCCCAAAACAGTGCCATCATCTAGGGACAAAATGTCCAAATACTTGGAGCTTATGGGGGACATTTTCATTCAAACCATCACAATGTTATTACTCATAAATGCCAAGAAATGTAAATAATCCAAATATCTTTGAGTAGGGGAATGGATAAACAGTGTTACAAGTATTAAAAGGAGTCTTTCTCAGAAATAAAAGGAATGAACTAATGACCAAAGTCACGTGAACAAGAAGATGAAAAAATTTAAAGGTACTGTATGGTTTCATTTATGTGACATTCTGGAAAAATCAGGATTATAGTGACAGAGAGAAAATCAATAGTTTCCAGGGATTAGGGGAATTGTTCTTTATTCTGACTATGATAGTAGTCTATGAGCTTGTCAAAACTCAGAACTATATCCAAAGAGTATTGGGTCTGGGGGCAGGAAAGATGACTTAGCAGTTAAAAACACTTATTGCTCTTCCAGGGAACTAGAGTTCAGTTCCCAGCACTCCCACCAGGTGAGTCACAGCTGCCTGTAACTCCAGTTCCAGAGGATTTGACATCCTCTTCCATTCTTTCAGAGTACTTTCACACACATGTCATTCACTCACAGAAACACATATACATACACATAAATAAAAATAGAATAGAGAGTATTGACTTTGTTGTATGTATGTTTTTAAAAAAGAAATCTGCAATAGTTATACTGTGAGAAAATAACAATAAAATAGAAAACAAAAAACAACATGGACGTAAATTTAACCTGGTTCTTTGACAAAGCTAGGAAAATTCATAAACATCCCAGATAGATCCAGAAAAAGGCAGTAAGAGGATCATCACTTTGGAGCCTACAGACATTAAACTGTAATAGGAAAATGCAAAAAATTTTATGCCATTAAATTTGACTACCTAGGTGAAAATGATAAATTTACTGAAAGACATAAACAGTCTAAACTGCTATCTATCAATCAGTAACCTGAATATCCCCATGTCTATTAGAAATATTGAACTTGATGCAAAAGTAGAGATTTGGAAGAGCAGGAATAATTTCCCATGGAAAAAACCACCAGGCCCAGATAGCTTCACTGGTGAAATATGCCAACATTTCATAGAAAAAATAATGCCAATTCTACTCATGTTTTCATGGAAAACAGAAGCAAAGGCAGCAGTGCCCAGCTCATTCAAATATTTCACATCTTTTGAGCACTAATTGCTGAGCAGTGCTACCGTTACTTACAAGGCTCCTAAATCAAAATCATTGCCCAAGAACTCCTCCAGAAGGCTTGTGTCCAGGGCTGGGTTCTCCAGAGTGCCACTGGCTCCTTGAGCTGCAAAGGCAAATTGAGAAGCTTGAGAACTGTGACCATTCAGAATGACTGCTAAAAACATTCAGGCTGATACCCAAAATTTCAAAGCAACTAAATAATATACTGCATTTATCAAGAATGTGATCTTTCTTCCATTTAAATATTTCCTTCTTGACTGGATGAGACTGGTTTAGTGCTCTTTTTATGAGCTTCCATAACACTGAATGGTTGCCTTATGCATTATTGAAAATCAGTCTCTCTCTCCGCATCTCTCTCTCTCTCTCTCTCTCTCTCTCTCTCTCTCTCTCTCTCCTTTAAGGAGAGGGACTACATCTTTCTTATTTTACCCACATGGATCCATGTTATGAAAGAGGCAAGCAACAATCATTTGTAAGATAGGCAGATGATGGCTAGATGTCTGGTTTACTGACTGATTTGGTCAACAAAAAGTTCAATATATTCTTTACAACTTTTGTTAGACTTCCTAAAACATAATAGCTCTGTCCCTTTTCTTGACTTAAAAAATGAAGAAAAGGTTTGTTTTTCACTGATTATAATGAATAGTGTTAGAATTTTAAAAAATATTTTACTTATTATTATTTATTTATTTTATGTGCATGCATGTATTGCCTGCATGTAGGTAAGTGCACCCACGTCATGCAGTACCCGTGGAGGATAGAAGAGGCTGTCAGATCCCCTGGAACTGGAGTTACGGACAGTTGTTAGCTGCCATGTGGGTGCTGAGATTTGAACCCAGGTCTTCTGCAAGAACAGCAAGTGTTCTTAACTGCTGAGCCATCTCTCCAGCCCCCCAGTATTAGAATTTTTAAAGAATATAAAATATCATGTAAAATAAATATTATAGGGAAGACAAAAAACATTATTGTGGATTGGCAAGATGGTTCAGCAGGTAAAAGAGCTTCCTGCACAAGCCTGACCACCTGAGTTTGATCCCTAAAACCCAGGGTAACAGGAGAGAACAGACTCCTGGAGTTGTCTTCTGACCTCCTCATGCAAGCCCACACTCACACATATATCATGCACACACAATAATAATAAATAAAAAATTAAAAACATTTCTGCTGGCAAACTCAAGAGAAGAACTTATTATGAAAAATAATCTGAAAATTAAATTGGTTGGTTGGTTAAAATCAAACATAAAAATTAATTGTTCTTATATGAATAATAACCAATTAACCATTCAAATGAATATAAAAGGGAACTCCAAGTCAAAGTAACAAAAACCATAAAATACCTAAGGATATATTTAAGGACACTTAAAATTAATTTTTTATTTTGATATACTAAATAATAGGTTTCATTATGAAAATTTTCATTAATTACTATACTAGGACAATTTTTTAACTAAAAATTTCCATTCAAAGCCTTAAGATGAGGTTTAAATTAATGGAGAGGCCTACACTATTCCAGCTGAAAAATTCAAACTTAAAAAATTTACTAGACATTATTTAGGATGGCAACAAAAGCCATCTATTAATTTCCTTAAGACACTCCTCTTACAAAGACTGCAGCAGGATATTGTTAACACATAACCTCCACTGGCACTTAGAATCAGGCATTAGCCAGTGATAGTCTGCCATGTCTACCCAAGTCCTGCTTGACTTCCTTTTAACTCTTCTGAGGCATGGTTTTTTCACTTTTGTTCTTATTACATGTCAACCAGTTGGATGCACCCAATAATCCCCCTCTGAAATGGCGTGCATGTGCTACCGAAAGAAAATGATCTCCAAGCTAAAATATTTCCAATCATTCTTTTAAATATTTATTCCTTGGATGTAGCTGTGGTTTGGGGTGGAAAGGCTTGTTAAAAGTGAACATTTTGAAATGTTTTTAATTGGTGAAAGGGAATGGCCTAGAATAATGCTGCCAGAGACAGTGGAAATTACCCATTTTGAAGGTGCCATTCTTATAAGCCAAGAATTTGCTATTTAAAAGTTATCTTAAGAATAACATGTAATATAATTTGAAATAAAGAGAAAAGCATTATAACCGAAAACATTGTTGGGTGGGGTTTGTTAAATGAATGACTTTGATAAAGTTTTATGCACAGGCAAAATGTGTTCACTAGATTTCTGTGTGATGATCTGCTTTTCCTTTGTAACTTGTAGTCCTCAAGACTTTTTTTTTATTAAATAAAGTCCATACTTATACTTAAAATTTTATTCCATCAGGGTGTGGTGGCACACGCCTTTAATCCCAGCACTCGGGAGGCAGAGGCAGGTGTATCTCTGTGAGCTCAAGGCCAGCCTGGTCTACATAGTGAGTTCCAGGTGGTGCTACAGACAGACCCTGTCTCAAAAAGACCAAAAAAAAAAAATGTCTTCCTTGGGAAGAATAAACACACAAAAATGACCCCCCCCCAAATGAGAGCTGTATGAATAGACACATCGAAGGAATATTAGCAAATCTCGGATAAAGGAACATGAACATAACACCAGGCTTGGTGGAAACACCTTTAATCCCAGCACATGGGAGGCAGAGGCAGGTGAATCTCTGTGAGTTTGAGGCCAGCCTGGTCTTGGAATAGTGAATTCCAAGCCAGCAAGGGCTACACAGGGAGACCCTGTTTCAAAAAACCAAAAAGGAAAAAGAAAGAAATTATATATATATATATATATGCATGTATGTATGTATAATATATAGAATTTTACTACATGATAAACAAGATCAGTTATTCAGTAATGTTATTAGGACAACTGGATAGACATCTAGGGGGAAACAATCTGGACTGTCATGCTTCAACATCAAATTCAGAATCAGTCTGACTGTAGCCATAATGTGACCAGCTGCTTCAAGCTCCTGCTTGATGACTGTGCCTTGAACTATGAACTGAAATAAACCCTTTCCACCTTAAGTTGCTTTTGTCAGAGCATTTTATCATAGCAACAGGAAAACAAACTAAGACACCAAAACAGTTTATTTTCAAAGACAAAGGCAATGGGCTGGATAGCTTCAGTTGTCAGCTTGACATGCCTGGGTAGTGGAAACATCAATTAAGGAATTTCCTCCATTGGATTTTCCTGTGGCCATGTCTGTAGAGCATTTTCTTGACTGTTGAGTGATGTGAGAGGGCTCAGGCCACTGTAGGCCATGCCACCCCTGGACAGGTAGTCCTGTGTTGAATAAGAAAGCAGGCTGAGCACCGGCCAGAGGAGCAAGTCAGTAAGCAGCGTTCCTCCATGGCCTGTGCTTCAACTCTGGCCTCCAGGTTCTTGACCTGAGTTTCTGCCCTGACTTCCCTCAGTGATGACCTTGGAGATGTAAGATAATAATAAACCCTTTCTTCTCCAAGTTGTTTTTTTTTTTTTTTTTCTGTGTTTTTATCACAGCAATAGAGAAGCAAACTAGGACAGAAGTTGGTACCAGGATTGTTGGGGTATTGCTGTGAGACAAACTGGACCCTGTTGTTTTGGGGAGGATTGTGGAAGCATTTGGAATTTTGGGCTGGAAAATCCAGTGAGTGCTCAGAACTTAGTGAGCTATTGCTATGTAGCTTGAAACAGTTATGCTGAAGAGAAATGTGGATGATGGAGGCCTGGCTTGTGACATTTCAAGTGAAGCAAAGACTATCAGGGCTGTTTGTGTGTGTGAGAATCTGTAGTTTCTGATTGGCTGGGAATAAAGAATCAACCGTGATTAAGAAGAGACCAGAACCACTGAAGTGAAACCTTTGCTTTACTGGGTCAATTAATGCTGGTTAGCTGCAGCTGAAAAATCAGCTGTGATTAAGAAGAGAGCAGCATCCTTGAGGTGAAATCTGGGAAGTATTTCCTTAGGGTCAGCACACAGAAGCTGTGGTCCAGGGGGTTCTGAGCCTCCATCTCAAGCTGGAAGAAGGACTTGGTAATGTGTCTTCTCTTACACATTGAAGGCATGAAGGGGTCCTGGAGAGCAGGAATTTCCTCTACTGGATTGACCTATGGGCGTGTCTTGATTGTTGAGCCACGTGGGAGGGCTCAGCCCACTGTGGGTGGTACCACCCCTGGACAGGTGGACTTATGTTATATAAGAAAGCAGGCTGAGCACAGGTAAGAGGAGCAAGCCAGTAAGCCACATTCTCCCATGGTCTGAGGTTCAGTTCCTGCCCATCAGCAGGAATTTCCTCTACTGGATTGACCTATGGGCGTGTCTTGATTGTTGAGCCACGTGGGAGGGCTCAGCCCACTGTGGGTGGTACCACCCCTGGACAGGTGGACTTATGTTATATAAGAAAGCAGGCTGAGCACAGGTAAGAGGAGCAAGCCAGTAAGCCACATTCTCCCATGGTCTGAGGTTCAGTTCCTGCCCTGAGTTCCTGCCTTGACTTCCCTCAGTGATGAACTGTGACCCGAGAGATGTAAGATAAAACAAACCCTTTTCCCCCAAGTTGATTTTGGTCAGTGTTTTTATCACAGCAATAGAAAGCAAATTAGGACAGGCAACAATTTCAAAATGAAAACATTCAGCATATAAAATGTCTATGCACCCCTCTTGAAAATAATTTCTTGACAATGAAATTCAATCAAGTATAATTGCCAAAAAGGAACTGGGAAATATATAAGGTAGAAGGGAAAACACTATCACTAAGTGATGAATTCATATGTTAGGATTTAGGCTGAATGTGGGAAGAGAACTGTAGCTGCAGATCAAACAGCAGAAGTAATAATCCCTGACTAAGGGAAAAGAATACAAGAGACAGGAGCACACATCTATGTGGTATAGCTTCTGTTCCTGTTCTTACCAAGCCACAAGAATTCAATCATGAGGGTTCTACCCTAATGACCTTATCTAAACTATCAGGGCTCAACCTCTAAGCACCAAGGTTGGGTTGTTTTCAGCTCTGTAACACTATTAACATGTGAATTAGGAGGGTGAACTCCATAAATTTGGAAGAACAAACAGCACATTCAAATATAAGCCAATTAAAAAAGTTCCTCCAACCTCTTAGTGACTTTTAACTCCTCTCTTGGCCTTGGAAGACTTCTTTAAAGTCAATATCTCTAACAGCAAAGAAACATTTA